CGGAGGAGGCCACTGCCCCGGAAGGCGTGAGGTGGAGGCGGAGCTGACCGCGAGGAGCGCACGAGGAGCAACAGCAACAGCAGCAGCAGCAGTCGAGAGTTTGATATACGCCCTGCTCTTGTGGTGTCTTGGAGTATCACGCCGTGCTCCGGTACTGCATGCCATGTGCATTGTTCGAGCTTGCAAGATACACTAGTACGATGTGCCTCACATGTGTCCTCGCTAGCGTGTAACATGACATCCCTCACATCATGCGTGATACAGATTGCTCCCACGGCATGCCTGTTGATGAGATGTACCCCGTCGTTGCTCGTGGCATGGAGCTCGGAGCAAGAAGAGCTGACTGCCCTAGGACCGCCTTTGCAGACATGTTCCAGCCATTCCCAGGCGGCAGCGAGCAGGAAAAGAGGCAGGGTGGGGAAGGGGAGAGGCCAGCAGGGTGCTCCCTCTTCCCCTTCTGTCACTCATCCTTCCTTACCCTACTGTCATACCAACAGCAGCCGAGGGAGCGGAACGCGAACGAGCGCACGGTGCCCGACAGAGCCGGGGCGGGGGGGAATCCGTGGGTTTGCGCGCCCTGGTGGGCGCGGAGCCCTCGGGGAGCCGGCTGGCCGCACAGGTCTGGAGTCTGGGGTCGCACTGTCGCACCTGCGCGCCCAGGCCACAGGGCAGGAGGGGCCATTAGGGGCTACGTTAGGGGCTAGGCAAATATCGACTGAGGACAATCTTGACTGACAGGAACCGTTGGGTGGGGACCGCCACCGGGTGGGGGGGGGACATCGACCTGGAATCGGCGATACCTCGCCGACAGATCGGCGACGGGCCGCCGGTAGCGAAGTCGCAGAGTCCTGGGCGGGGCACCTATCGGCGATGAGTGGGCGACTGCGGGTCGATGCAGAGTTCCCCCTGAGCCTACGGGCCAAAGGCGTGCTAAGATCTCCAGTGACAGGTTAGCAGCATTTATAGTTCGCGCGCGCGTGGCGGCCCCTTGGGACCCTTCGACGAAAAGTACCCCCGGCGATGCCCGGCCGACTCCCCCAGGGCGCTCCAGGAGCGCACCACGAGGCCGCCGGGACGCCCCCTACACGGCCCAAGAGGCCCCGAGTCGCCGAAAAATCGCCCCATGACGCTCACAATGGTCTCCAGATGGCCCCAGAGTTGGCGAAAAAGCCCCAAGCGAGCCTCAAGAGGCTCTCCAAGAGGGCCCCAACAAGCAAAAACCGTCCCATTCCCTCCGGAAAACGTACATGTTTCGCATGTGCGACGTTTCTCCTTTTCGGCTTTCCAACGCTCCAAGACGGCCCAACAGGCCTCCAAGACCGCCCCAAGACGGCCCAAAAAGCCCCCAAGAGAGCCCCACGGCCAAATATGGCCTCAAGACAGCCCGAGAGGCAGGCGCCCAAGATGGCCCAGGAGGGCCCCAAAACAGGAACCGAAAAGTCCAGACTTCAGCCCAAAGAGGCCCCTAGAGGCCCCCAAGACGCCCCAAGGGGCCCCCAAGAGGCACCCCAAAAAGCTCCAAGAGGCCCCCAAGAAGCCCCCAAAAGGCCCCAAGAGGCCCCAACACGGCTCCCCGGAGGCCTCAAAACTGCCTCCCAGAGGCCCAAGAGGCCCCAACGCGGCCCTCAAGCGGCGAGGCAATATGGACCGGCGGAATGAGCGAAGCGATTAAATAACGTTGTCCCTGAGTGGTCAGCACCGAATCGCCTGGAGACTTCTCGTCGCCACGGCTGGCTCCCACTCGAGATGCATAGAAAGCATGTTTAAAATGTTCGGCGATGACGGGCGTCATGGGGGGGTATGACGTAACGCCCCCCCCGCCGTGTGGCTCCGGCACCACAGCCGCGCCCGCGCGCACGACGCGACGAGCGACAAGCGACGACGACGACGACGACGAAGACGACGACGACGACGCGAGCAGCATGTAGGTGGCGATCTGCCCCCCTGCGCCTGTGTACACCACAATGCTCGCGTGCACCACAGCGCGCGTGTACACCACAGCGCCTGCGCACATCGCAACAACCGTGTGCAACGCAGCGCTTGTGTACACTGCAATGCTTGCGTACACTACAGCGCCAGTGTACATGTGCACACCGGAGGCAACCATGTGCAACACAGCGTCTGTGTACACCACAGTGCTTGCGTGCACCGCGGCGCCTGTGCACGCCACAACGCCTGTCTACACCACAGCATCCGCGTGCAACGCAGCGCTATTGTACATCACAGTGCATGCGCGCATAGGACAAGTAGAAGGAGCCTGTACGTGAGGATCTGCTGCGGAAGCGCCACGCCAGGAATGTGCTGATAATCCAATGCGACGTTTTTCCCTCTTCCCTTCTCCCCCACTTCCACCTCATCCTCCTCCTCCTCCTTTTTCCCTTCCCCCTTTTTCCTCCGCCTCCTCCTCATCTTCCTCCTCCTTACCCCCTGTCGTGCGGGTTGGCGCTACAGCGCACGTGCGCAACTCAGCGTGCACCGCAAAATGGTCGATTGAATCGGCCCATTTGGTTCTCGGACGGCCAATTTAGCTGGAGCCTCCTGGACGCAAGTGGGAGGAGTTACGGTGATGCAGGCGAACTCGGAAGGACTCGTAGATTCCCCTGGCGCTCCTTTGTCCATAAGGATTATTTTCTGGTGTTTTCGGTGGACACTGCTGTGTTGCACACGGATGATGTGGTGTACGCAGGCTCTGTGGTGTACACGAGAGCTGTTGTGCCCGCGCGCTCGGTGGCACAAACTGACGCTGTGTTGCACGCGGCTGCTGTGGTGTACATAGGCGGCGTGGTGTACACAGACGCTGTGGTGCACGCAGGCACGGAGGTGTACACAGGCGTTGTGGTGCAGATCGTTACCTACACGCTGGTGCCACCCGTCCTCCGTCATTCCTAAGCACTCCCAGGCGCCGCCGGCGTGAAGCGTGACGTCATCGACCCCCTCCACCCCCCCAGATGATTGCCGTCATCGGCCCGGAATTTAAAAACAGGCTCCAGCCGCGTCCGCGCGCACGACGACGATGAGCGACGAGCGACGAGCCACGAGCCACGAGCCAATAGCGACGACGACGACGACGACGACGACGACGACGACGACGACGACGACGACGACGACGACGACGACGACTGCGGACCAGACTCCTATGCGGATTCCTACGCGGACACCTACGCGGATCCCAATACGCACGGCGGCAGTGCCCGGAGCGCAGTGGGGGGGGAAGCGTTACGTCATAGGGGGGGGGCGGGCGCCATGACGCCCGTCATGCCCCAAGCAATAAAAAAATTGTCTCATATCAGAAGGCGGCCCAGGACAGGTCTGGGGTAGATTCTTTGTGACTACCCCTGGAACCAGACCCCCTTAGCTCAGTCAGCATCACATGGGAAGATATGATCGGACCGGACCGAGCATCGAATCGGGCCGCATCGGCACGGGGTCGGGGTCGAACCAGGTCGGCCGCGCCAGGATGCACGACAGTGCCACACATGCCAGCATCAGGCCGCATCGGATTGTCGGAAGATCGGAGTCGAATCGGATCGAGCAGGCCAGAGTCGATATGGAAGCCGATCGATCGGACCGAAGTGGACCCTGCAAGGAGGAGGGGGGAAGAGGATGAGGAGGAGGCAAGAGGGCTACAGTCGTAGGACTGCCATAAACACCGCTGAATCAGGAACAAATAGGTTATGGTAACGGAGGGCCTCGACCACGACTAGGGGGCTCGCGAACCAGGGCCCCTCCTGAGTCTGCAGCAGTCCTCATGTCCAGCTTTTCTTCCTCGGTTGTGTTTGACGGCCCCGGGGCCCGACAAGGCCCCCGAATGCCGAGGATGTGAGCGTGTTCTTATTCGGCGTTTCGACATTGGGCGCAAGGGGGGGGGGTCTGGCTCTGGACCTCTGCTTAATGCGACTGTCTGCAGCAATGCGTCATATGCGGGAGACCCCACCTGCTCGAAACAGGCGCCAGAAACAGCCAAGATCTACTCCATAGGGGGGGGAGGGGGGGTGCGAGGGCCCGCGCCGGTCGGCAAAACAAGGAATAAGAAAACGATCACGACAAAAAAAAACGCTACAGGACCTGGTTCTCCAAGACCCGACTCCGTCATAGCGAGAAGGGTGAGGAGGAAGGCAACCTGAGGAGGAGGTCGCTGCTGGGATACCGACTTCTGTTAAAATCTGGGAGCGGTCGTTACCCACAGGGGGGTCCAGATAACGGTAATGCTTGGACGGGGTGGGGCACGTTGGGGCGGGGGCGCACTGCGATCACAAAAGTGTGCGCACGAGCACCACCATGCGGGGGGGGGTCCAAGCCCCCCCGCCCCCCGTGTGTTCGATCGTTACCTAGGCGGGGGGGAGGTTTGGCCAGGGTAACAACTGTGACCAGAAATGTAACGAAAAACATCTCCTCGAGGTCGAAGACCAGGAGCACCGGGACGGGGACGTGAGCGGCGGCGGCCAGACGGCGACGATGGAGACGCGGAAACGAGAGCGGCGACGAGGAGACCACGGCCAGGAGAAGGCCACGGCCGGGAGGCTACCAGGGGGAGCTGCGGCGATGGAGAGACACAGACCCGGGCGTCGTGATTTTTGAGCGAGGCGGACCCCCCGGAGGTCTGGACCCCATGCATGGGGCTGGCTGCTGACCCCGAGTCGTTCCTTTCATTGCCTGGGGCCGGGCATTGATCACGGGAGGCCACAGAGTTGCTAAAACCTGTCGTAGTGCTCACGTAGTGCTTCGTCGCGAGGCGAGGAGGGAGCGACGGCCAGGCGGCTACCGAAAATAGAAAAAGGACAAACTTAAGAAAACCGCGCGGACCTCGGAAAGTGTATGCTCATGCAGGATTCTCTTTCAGACGCGCGGCGTGGGACGGCGACGGCGGCAGCGGCGGCGGTGACGACAAGGCCGACGACGAGGAGGACGACGAGGAGGAGCGGCGACGACGAGGGGGGACGAGGAGAACGACGACGACGACGAGGACGACGGCAAGCAGGGGCGCCGGCGGCGGGGCGCGCCTCGAAGGGCAGCCGGGAGAGGCCGCTGCCGGGGCACAGCACGCGCGGCGGCTCCTGGTCGGCGGGGACGCCGCCTGCTCGCGGGGGGGGAACCTGGTCCTCATCATTCCCCTTGTCGCCGTCGTCGCCGTCATCGTCGTTGACGTCGTCGTCGTCAACATCGTCATCATCGTCAACTTCATCATCCTGATCAGAATCATGATCATCATCATCATCATTAGGACCATCAACACACACCATCAGCATCAGCATCGCCATCGCCATCGAGACACGCATTATCACCTCCCACCCTCATTCACCATCACACCTCATCATCATCAGCAGAAGCAGCAGCAGCATCAGTATCAGCATTAGAATCAGAATCAGCATCAGCATCATCGTCGTCTTCGTCGTCGTCTTCGTCGTCGTCGGGAACCGCACCCTCGCCATCATCATCATCATCATCATCATCATCATCATCATCATCATCATCATCATCATCATCATCATCCTCATCATCATCATAATCATCATAATCATCATAACCATTATCATCATCACCACCATCATCATCGTCATCATCGTCATCATTATCATCATCGTCATCATCATCGTCGTCTGCATCGTCGGCATCCTCATCATCATCATCATCATCATCATCATCATCATCATCATCATCATCATTATCATCATCATGACCATCATCATCATCAGCATCGTCGTCGTCAGCATCGCCATCGTCTTCATCATCTGCATCAGATTCATCATCATCGCCGACGTATTTCATTGCCATCGTCATCAGCACCGTCTTAGCATCGTCGTCATCGTCGTAATTCACGCATCACCATCATCGCTTTCATCATCAGAGGCATCAGTATCATAATCACCATCATCATCCTCATCCTCATCAGAAATTGCCTGATCACCATCCACATCATTAATCATCGCCATCGTGGTATATTCGTCGTCGTCATATTCGCCATGATTCGTCATCATCATCATTACCACCGCAGACTCACCATCACAATCATACCCTTAATCACCATTGGCATAGCCATACTCGTAATAACTTTCGTTCTCCTGACGACACCCGAGAGCAAGGGAGGAGATCAGGCCGCAGCCATTGGGGAAAGGCTGACGAAGCGTCCGCGCAAATAACAAACCAATGGGGCGCGCGCGGCAACGCACCACCAGGATGGCCAGAGCGAGGGAGAGAGAGAGTGAAAGAGAGAGAGAGAGAAGGATAGCGGCGGAGACCCCACAAATCCAGTCGCCGAGGCGCGCCTAAAAACGAATTTCAAAAAATGCCGTCTCTTGGACAAGTCTGCATTGTTGGCCAGGGCGTTCTGCGCGTGAGAAAACAGCACGCGGCAAGCACCCAGGCGGAAAAGTGCCGCGGCCCCGATGCGGGAACGCGCACCTACGCCCGCACCTGATTATTCCACAACTCAAACGGGACGCCAGGCGCCAGGACGAAGGGCCGCTGGGCACTCCGAGGAGGGGGGGGGGGGAAGGGGGAGTAAGGCGGAGGAGAGGGCGTGAAAGAAAAGTTTAACTCAGCAGCCCCCGGGTGCCCGTAACCTGCGCGCACGCGCAGGGGCGAATTACAGCCCGCGGGCTTGGCCAGCACGCCAGGCTCATGCGCGCAGCGCGCCTGGCAATCTCAGCGCCCAGGTTGCGCAAGAACTGGCGCACGACAACCTTCTGAGGCGCGTGGCCGCGTCGCCTGGCGACACGCCTCGCGATGGCGCGGATCGCGGTGAGCGCGCCCGGATGCGGGCGGCCGATGTTCGTCCGGTATGTACACGATGCTCTGAAATGCCAGGAACTCCGCGAATGGCTCGCGTTCCCCAGCTTTCCTCAGGTGCATCGCCTCGGGCACGTCTCCGCCACCCGCGGCCTCCACGGAGGTGATTCCTACGTCTGGCGCCGCCGCGCGGCCCGACAGGACAACAGAGGACAGCACATCAGCGGGGCGAAGCGCTGGACGGGAAGGGATCACCTCGGGTAGCCTCACCCACGGCGCAGCACGAAGCATGGCTGCCGCCAGAGTCGAGCACCGCCTGTTCACACCACGCGCCGCGTATTCTTGAGTCGGTCGGTCCCCTGGCGCCAAGGTGCACCAGGACGGCCTCCGCGAACTCGTCGTTGTCTAGCACCTGCCCGTGCGCGTGGGAGAGGCACCACGTCCGCGAGTGGTCCACGTCGGGACATGTCGAGGCGGCGCACGTGGCTGGATCCGCTGTCGAACGCCTCGCGGTCCTGCTTCACGCCCGCGGCGACGCAGTTGTCCACCACCGTGCCGACCACCCTCTGCAGCCGGGGGCCGCGCGCGGCCCCGCGCGCATCGGGGTGTTCGTCGTCCTCGGCGCCCGCGTCGGGCAGCAGGCTGGCGGCGAGAAAAGCCATTCCGCGCATGGCGTCGACGCGGGCCTCGGACCCATCGTCCACCGGCTGGGAAGCGCCTCCCCCATCGTGCAGCCGCTGCCACGTCAGCGCGGCGCCCTGGACCCCGTCCTGCACGTGCTCCAGGGTAACGGACGCGCATTCTGGCAACATCATAGCGAGAAAGCCCGACGGCGGCTTCCTCCACGTAGCCGAACATGGCCCGCACCAGCGGGCGCGCCCCCGAGCGACTGCTTGTGAACGCTGGCATTGGGACCTCGCAGGCCGTCCAGAAACCCTGACCGCCATGCGCCACCCCTGCGGAGGCCTGACACCATGCCGCATCAGGCAGAGCCCCCACAAGCGCGTCCTCGACAGCACTCCAGAAACTGTCGAAGGCTGCCGCTGGTGCGCCGTCATCATCATCATCATCATCATCATCATCATCATCATCATCATCATCATCATCATCATCATCATCCTCATCATCATCATCATCATCATCATCATCACCACCACCACCACCACCACCACCACCAGCATCACCATGGTATTCGTCGTCATCATCAGCAGCAGCATCATCACAAGCACCATCATCATCAGCAGCAGCATCATCAGCATTTTCAGCATCATCATCATAATCATCATCATCATCATCATCATCATCATCATCATCATCATCATCATCATCATCAGAATCACCATCATCATTATCATCATCAGCAGCAGCATCAGCATAATCGTTGTCTTCGTCAAAATCGGCAGCATCATCAGCAGCAGCATCGTCATCATCATCATCATCATCATCGTCATCATCATCGTCATCATCATCATGATCAGCATCATCATCATCATCATCAGCATCATCATCCTCATCATCATCATCATCATCATCATCAGGTCGATATTAATCTTCATCTGAATATTCATCCTCATCCTCATCCTCATCATCATGTCCGTGTTCGTCTTCGCCGTCATCAGCAACCTCATCCCCATCATCATCATCAGCAGCATCAGAATCAGCAGCATCATCCTCATCCTCATCATCAGCATCGCCACCATCATCATCATCATCATCATCATCATCATCATCATCAGTATCATCATCATCATCATCATCATCATCATCATCATCATCATCATCATCATCGTCATCATCAACGTCAACATCAGCAGCAGCAGCATCAGCATCAGCATCAGCATCAGCATCATCATCATCATCATCATCATCATCATCATCATCATCTGCATCTTCATCCTCATCTTCATCTTCATTATCATAGTCAGCATCATCGTCATCGTCGTCGGTACCGTCATCTTCTTCCTCACCATCATCATCAGTATCATCATCATCATCAGCATCCTCAGCAGGAGCAGCGGCAATTGCATCATCATCATCATCATCATCAGCATCATCATCTTCATCATCAGCAGCAGCAGCGGCAGCAGCAGCGTCAGCATCAGCATCAGCATCAGCATCATCGTCAGCAGCATTACCATCAGCCAGCATCGTCATCTTCAGCATCGTCATCGTCAGCAGCATCACCATCATCATAACTCCCAACATCAGCATCAGCAGCATCATCATCAGAATCATCAGCATCACCATCACCACCACCATCAGCATCATCAGCAGCAGCAGCTGCGACAGCTGCATCATCATCATCAGCAGCATCATCGGCATCATCACCATTATCAGCACCATCATCATCACCATCATCATCAGCAGCATCAGCATCATCATCATTATCTATAACCAAGCAGTGCTTGAGCAAAGGAAGCCAGATTCGCGTTTCGCAATGATGGGGTGGATTGTCTAGGTTTTCGCCCAAACGCTGGCCGCGGCAGCCTCGTTGCCGCCTTGTGCATCTTCTAGGTGTCCCGGGTGTTCGCCCAGTCGCCTCCCGTGGCCGCCTCGTGACCGCCTTGTGCGCTTGCTGGGGGCCCCGCGTTTTCGCCCGAAGAGCCCCCCGTCGCCACCAAATGCATTACCTCCCACACCCCAGACTCTACAGGTTCTCCATTCGAAAGAAGAATAAACACCCCCCCCCCGGAGGGCAATGCTTTCAAAACCACGACGGCTACTCCGCCCCACCCCTTCCTCCTCCTCCTCCTCCTCCTCCTCCTCCTCCTCCTCCTCCTCCTCCTGCTCCACCTCCTCTTCTTCCTCCTCCTCCTCCTCCTCCTCCTCCTCATCCTCATCCTCATCCTCATCCTCATCCTCCTTCCTCTCCTCCTCCTCCTCCTCCTCCTCCTCTCCTCCTCCTCCTCCTCCTCCTCCTCCTCCCTCCTCCCTCCTCCTCCTCCTCCTCCTCCCCCCCCCTCCCCCCTCCCCCTCCCCCTCCCCGTCCTCCCTCCTCCTCCTCCTCCACCTCCGCCTCCTCCTCCTAATCCTCTTACTCCTCCTCCTCTCCTCCTCCTCCCCCTCCTCTCCTCCTTATTAGTATTACTCAGTGTGCTTAGTATTGTTCGTCGACTTCTCAGTATTCTTCATAGTAGTAAGATTATCACTCGTATTATTACTCGTTTTGTGATTATTATTCTGCATAAATGTAAGAGTCTTCGTATTAGTATACGTGTTAGTTCCCTTATGATTATCACTATGAGTATTATCTTATGCTTCTTGGTCATATTACCACTACAAAGTATATGTTTAGTAATTGCAGTGTTGTTCGTATATATAGTATGATTGTTCTTAGTATTCCTCCTCCTCCTCCTCCTCGTCCTACTCCCCCTCGTCCTCCTCCTCCTCCTCCTCGTCGTCGTCGTCCTCCTCTTCCTCCTCCTTCTCCTTCTCCTTCTCCCCCTACTCCACCTTCTCCTACTCCTCATCCTCCTCCTACTCCTCCTACTCCTCCTCCTACTCCTCCTCCTCCTCTTCCTCTTCTTCCTCCTCTTCCTACTCCTCCTGCTCCACCTCCTCCCGTTCCCCGATGGAGCTTGGGGTGATCGCCTTGCCACCGCTGGGTCATCTGCCTCCTTCTGCTCCATCCGCCAGCACCTCCAGCGCCTCCTCGTGCACTTCCTTCATATCCCCCTCTCCTCCTGCAACTCATCCCCCGTTCCACTATTCCCCCTTTCATCCTCCTTCTTCCATTGTTTTCCCATTTTTCCCCTTCCCCCAACGACGAAGATGGGAACAGATACAACGGCGACGACGGACGGGGACGAATATGAAAAGGGAACTGCCACAGCGAAGATGAACACGACGGCGAAGGTGAAGGCCGGGCGGCCGCCACAGGGGAGCGCACGGCCGTTTTCGTTTTCCTCGTTCTCGCCCCTCCTCCTCCCCCCACCCCCTCCTCTTCACGCTCTGGTTGCCTCTCACGACCCCAAACGCACAAATCTTGGCGTCGCGGCCCCGCGCGCAGCGCTGAGGCATAGAAAGAAGGAGAATGGAAGCGAGAAGCGCGCGCGACCGACCCACTTAGAAGCCGGGGACAGGGATCCACCCGAAGGGATCAATCAGGTCATGCGCACACCCGGGCTTGGGCTGCGCGGGGGACTGCACCGGCGCGAGGGGGCCGAGTTGCCAACACCAATAGTGTAGAACAGACAAGGCGAGGCGCAGCGGCGCCGGCACAAGCAGAACCCAAAGGGGTGAGCAGCAGGGCAGAACAGGACAGGCGCAGCAGGTCCCAAATGCACGCACACACACACACACACACACACACACACACACACACATATATATATATATATATATACTTCTTGGCGTTCTCGGCCCCGCGCGCAGCGACGAGGCGAACTAAGTCAAGCACAGCGAGCAGAACCCCGCGCGCGCCCGCCTCAGAGCAGGGCGCACCATATGCCATTCTGGCGGGGATAGCAGGGAGAAACTGAGGACAATAGACGGGCCTACCCAACGACCAGGGGAAGGAACCCACACGCCTATAGGCGACGGCGAGGATCGCGACGACAAAGAAGGCAGGCGGGCACTCGGAGAGCTAGCAGTTTACTACCGTGTGCGACGCGCGATATACACAAACACAAACACACACACACACACACACCACCCCTTCCACCCTCGTCACACTTCCCTCGCCCCCCACCGTCCTCCCTCCACGCCGCATCCCCCTTCTCCTCCTCCTCCTCTTCCTCCTCTTCCTCCTCCTCCTCCTCCTCCGTTCCCTAGTGGTCCTCGAAAGAGCAAAAGGAGGGGGGAGGACCATGGCCAAGTAGAACGGCCGCCAGCCTGGCACGCTGCCCCGCCACACCCTGCTCACCAGCATCCTTGCCGCGCAGTGTCCATGAACGAACTCGAAGCGCTGAGCATGCTCGAACCAGAGCGTCGCCACCAGCAGGAATGCGACAAGCCCCGCGAATGAGGGCACCGCCCCCGTACCCTCTCATGCAACCGACAGCAGAAAGAAAGCACTGGCAGACTGATCAACTCAGCCATCGGCAGTCCCAGGTGATTTCGCGGGGTTGCGCGACACTCCACCAAGAGTGGGGAGTCGAGCGGCAGCTGGTTTAGAGCCTCGTGGTCCTGAAGGAACAATAACCCTGCCAGCACGCCACGCGCGGCATCCTCTTCCTCCTCCTCCTCCTCCTCCTCCTCCTCCTCTTCCTCCTCCTTCTCCTACTCCTCCTCCTCCTCCTCCTCATCCTCATGCTCCTCATCCTCCTTCTCCCCTTCCGGGCCGCCTTCTGGCAGGGGCATGTGCTGCTGAAGAGCCTTCAGCAAGACGCCGTACTGGGAGTCCCGCTCCTTTTGAGGCGCCGTTCGTGACCACTCGCGCCGCCAGCGCCGCCGCCGCCGCCCCCCTCATCCATCTGCCGCCGTCTTCTGTTTGTCATGCTGCTCCTCTTCCTGCTCCTACTATTCCTTCACCTACTCTTCTTCCTTCTCCTCCTCCTCCTCCTCCTCCTCCTGGTCCTCGTCCTCCTCCTCGTCCTCCTCATCTTGTTCGTCTTGTTATGATGTTTATCAGCATGCGGACGCTTAGTATCATCATGCGTGACAATGTTAATGGTACTAATGCTCTTACGAAATCAAAATTCAGAATGGTGTCAGTACGAATGCTCTTCTGAGTATTATCAGCATCAGTCGTCTTATTGTCACCCTGGTTGTCATTACGATGTGAATTACCAGTGATACTCGCCTGCGTCGCACGATTACGATGAATCCTGATAGAATGGCCATCGCCACCAGAACGGAGAATCATCCAAATCAGCATCAGCATCAGCAACATCATCAGTAGCATCATCACAACCCACAGCATCAGCATCCTCATCATCACCCTCGTCCTCCAGCATTCTCAGCAGCGGCAGCATCATCATCACCAAAATGGTCACCATCATCATCGCACTCATCACCATCCTCATCATAATCATCACCATCGTCCGCAGCATCAGTCTCATCAACACAACCATCAAAATGCATCATCATGGTCATCTCCAGCATCAACAGCATCAGCACCATCGGCATCATCAACGTGATCAACCACAAGACCACAACCACAGTCATCATGGGCATCATCATCATCATCGTCGCCGTCATCATCATCAGCATCATCATCACCACCACCACCATCAGCATCATCGTCATCATCATCATCATCATCATCATCATCATCATCATCGTCATCATCATCATCATTATCATCCTCATCCTCGTCATCATCATCAGCAGCAGCATCAGCATCCTCATCATCATCAGCAGCATCGTCAGCATCATCATCATCATCATCAGCATCATCATCGTCGTCATCATCGTCATCATCATCGTCATCATCATCATCATCATCATCAGCATCAGCATCATCAGCAGCAGCAGCATCATCGTCATCATCACCATCATCAGCACCATAACCCCCACCGCCACCGCCGTCGTCGTCGTCGTCGCCATCGCCATCGGCATCGACTTCGTAATCGGCAACGACATCGGCATCTGCACCGTCATAATCGGCATGACATCCATCATCAACAGCATCCCCTTCTGTCTGCTTCCTCCGCCTCATCATCATCCCCAATCCTGTCCCTCGTCATCCTCGTCCTCCTCCTCCTCCTCCCACAGCGCGTCCTGTTGTTTCACCTCGTCATCCTCATCTGTTTGCGTCTCCGTGTCCGACTGGTCCTGTGACTTGGCTCTCGTATCATGAGCGTCCTCACCCTCATCGTCATCACAAATACCACCATCACCAACACCATCACCACAACCATATGGAAGAGCAGGAGCTGGGGCCGGAGAAGGAAGAACACAATGAACAGGAGGGGCAGGATGATCACGGGAAGGCGGAGGGGAGGGGGGGGGCGACAATGACGAGAACTGAAGCCGCTCCACAAACGTAACCGGCGCTGGGGCGAGTGAGAAATGTGAACCACGGGACAGGAGCACAGCGCCGATCCTGAAGTTTGGCCAACGCTGCAGCGGGGACACACTGTCTGCAGGGCCGCTAAAAATTCGATCGAAGAAGCAACGACTGCGAAACGCTGCATGGAAAGAAAGACGCGGGAGAGGCGGCGCAGACACTGGACAGCATCAGGGGAGGGAGGAGTGTAGTGCTCACATGGAGTACGCACTTGTGGAGGAGGGAGGAGCGAGAAGGACTGCGTCCACCTTCGCCTCGGCGGGGGAGGTGGGAATCCCAGGAAGAGCCAAACGACGAGCCAGCGCACGACCTCAGAGGGGGGGCAGGAACTCTTTCTCCAAGCGACGCCGATGAACGTCGGGGGGGAGGGAGGTGGAAGAGGGACCCCTCGTCACTCCTCCCAGGCCGCGGTCCATCTGGCCCTCGGCGGCCCAGTCGCGCACGAACTGCCGCAGGACGGTGCGCGTCTTCGACGCATTGCTGTCCTCATGGGGATAAGTCTTACACCCTTCGCCTCCTCCTCCTCCTAGTCTTCCTGCATCTCCTCCTCGTTCTCCTCCTCCTCCTCCTCCTCATCATCATCATCATCAGGATCGTCGTCATCACCATCATCATCAGCACCATCACCATCATCAGTATCATCATCATCATCATCATCATCATCATCATCATCATCATCATCATCATCGTCATCATCATCATCAGCATCATCAGCATCATCATTATCATCATCATCACCAGCAAAAGCAGCATCATAATCATCAGTGTCATCCTCGTCATCCTCCTCATCCTCCTCGTCCTCATATGCATCCTCAGAATTGAAAGCATTATCATCCGCATGATCGTCATCATCATCATCATCATCAGCATCAGCATCATCAGGATCGTTGTCGTCACCATCAGCACCACCATCATCATCATCATCATCATCATCATCATCATCATCATCATCATCATCATCATTATCAGCAGCAGCAGCATCACAATCATCATCGTCATCGGCAGCAGCAGCAGAAGCAACAACAAAGTCGTCGTAATCGTCACCGTCATCATTATCAGCACTGGCAGCAACAGCAGCATCACACGCAACAACATTCGACCAAAAGCATCAACATCATCACCATCACCCACCACAAACAACATAAGCAGCATCATCACAAACAACATCATCATAATACAAGGAATAACCATCAACATCGTCATCATCATCATCATCACCATCATCATCATCATCAGTATCATCATCATCGCCATCCTAATCATCATCGGCAACAGCATCATCATCAGCATCATCATCATCACCATCAGCAACAGCATCATCGTCATCGTCGTCGGCATCAACACCGTCAACGCCATGATCCGTGTCGTCGTCGTAGTCGGCAGAATCAACATCAGCATCGTCATCGGCATCATAAGCAGCATCGGCATCATCAGCATCACCACCATCATCATCATCATCATCATCATCAGCATCATCATCATCATCATCATCATCATCATCATCATCATCATCATCATCATCATCATCATCATCATCATCATCATCGCCATCATCATCAGCATCATCATCGTCGTCGTCGCCATCGTCAACAACATCTTCACCATAAACGTCAGCATGCTCGACATCAACATCCCCATCATCCGCACTAGCATCAAGAGCAGCATCATCATGATCGTCATCGTCTCGTCAGCATCATCATCAGCATCACCATCATCAGCATCACCATCATCAGCATCATCGCCAGCATCACCATCATCATCATCATCAGCAGCATCATCATCAGCATCATCTTCGTCATCGTCGTCATCAGATTCGTCAGCTTCGTCATCATCACCACAATCGTCATCGTCGTTAGCGTCGCCATCGTCGTCATCATGTCATCATCGTCATCGTAGTTGTGGTCGTCGTCGTCGTCACCACCATCATCATCGTCATTATCATAATCGACATCGTCGTCGTCGGCATAACCATCATAGCCAACAACAACAGCAACAACATCACCACCACCATAACGTCAACATCACACGCATCATCATCACCATCGTCAGCAGCAGAATCCTCGCCGTCGACTAAGTCATCGTCACCATCATCATCATCATCATCAACATCATCATCACCATCATCATCATCATCACCATCATCATCATCATCATCATCATCAGCATCATCATCATCATCATCATCATTATCATCACCAACATCAACATCAACATCAACATCAACGTCACCATCATCAGCATCATCACCACCGTTGTCGTCGTTATCGTCGTTGTCAACATAGGCTGGGTGGGCGATATAGGCCCCTACCCGCGATGAATGAGCGACTGGGGGTCGATGCGTGCCCCGGCCCCCTCTGAGCCTCTCCTCCCCGAACGTTGCCCCTCGGATGACAGCCGTGAGGGCCCCCGAGCGCCAGCGGCGCGCCTGGACCTGGTGCGACCTGGGGATCTCCACGAACTCCTGCGCGCTCTCGTCCGAGGTGACCAGCCTGCACAGCGCGGCGCGGCTCTCCCGGCTGGCCTCCTTGGGCGTTCTCGCTCCGCGAACAAACTTCACGTGTCGCGGCGCTGGCGGTCGCTCGGCGCGTGGCGGCCTAAACGGGCTGCGCACCGGCAGATTTGCACCAACAAGGAGGCGGGAGAAGAAGGGGGCTGCCGCGGAGAGGGGACTGAAGGCCAACAAAGCGCTCGCCGCAAGTGTTCGGCAAGTTCTCGCGCGGCGGAAAAAAACCTACGGCCGATGTTCTGCAAATTTGGGCCTCTGAGGGCCCTCACCAGGCCCCAGGACCGCAAAAAAACAAACTGCTCGGGATGGGAAATTGGTTTCTGGGAAGGTGTCGAGATCCCTGGGAGCCAACACCTTGAAAAAAGAGAAACTGCCCCTTAGATTGACAGGCCAGGGGCGATGGCAGCCTTGGGAGGTTCGCCCTCAGAAGCTGCGGGGATCAATCAGATCGACACCGAGGTACGGCGATGCCGATCGTAGAGATAGGGGTAAATTTCAGGCTGGTGACATCTCGGGGCGAAAAAAATGGATGGGACAAGGGGATAGACGGCACGGCTGATTCGTCTCGTGTCCACGTCGGCATTGGCTGCAAACAAAGAAAGAAACGATCGCGACATTTCGATTGCGCAGAAGGTTGTATGTAAGCCGGATTCTGGCCACCGGCGGCGTTTAACCTTGAATGATCGCGTTGATGTCGCAGGGGGGGTAGCAAATCAGCGCACGTGGCTAGTTTTCCCAGCACCTGAAGCCTCCTAAAGAGGCCAGTTGTCCACAACCCTGGCACGGTGGCGGGTGTGGCCGAAATCACTTGATACACCGATGAAGCCTTCAGATAAAAGGCAACCCCAGCATGGGTAACTGACATGCGCGCCACGTCACGACTCTCTCGCGATACTGCGTACCATATCGCCAAACTCCCAAAGAATGGCGGGTGATGCACCGCCAGCGTCCTCAACAGAAGTACGAAAACAAACGTGGAAGGCCGCCCGCCTGACCCTGAGCACTGCGGCACGCCAGCAGGGGGACAAGCGTCCCCCCTCCTCAGAAACAAAACTCCTCCGAGCTCCCTGGGCGGATCACTAACCTCGACTCGCGCTTGAGTTTCCACGAACTGCTCCAGGTCTGTCTGGATGTCTCTGTGACTACCCCGACTTATCTGGATCTAAAACGACTTACGAAGATTTGCCTCAACTTATTTTAAGGAGGACCTATTTTGAGGGCAAGTTGGGACAACGGCGCCTGCCCCGTTCGGCCAAAATGCGCTGAAAATGGGCCTCCCAGGGACCATCCTGGACCGTTCAAGGCGGATCAGGCCGTGGCGACGAGAAGCCTCCAGGAAGCCCAAAAGGACGGGAGACGCCAGGAAGGACCGCCGCGCTTTCGACTGGCCCTCCTCAAACCTATCTGGCTGGATCCCCGCGAGCCGATCAGAGAAGCATCGCCCAGCCCTCGGGGGATGCGCAGGCGGGGGCCGGAACCCGGCCAGGAAATGCGCGTTGATCCGTGCGGCCACCTGGGCGCGCCGGCTCGTCGTCTCGCCGCCCTCCCTGACATCCTCGCCGCCAAGCCGTCCGCGGGGCGCGGGCCAGCCGGGCTGGCGGCCTCCTCCCGCATCCATATTTCCCTGGACAAAAGAAGTCATCCCTGTCGCACCCCCAAACGTGTCCATAGGATCGGCTGGGCGTTTCGCCGGAGACGTCCTCAGCACGTGTGATCCTGAAACTTGAAATTTGCAAGAGCTTCAGGGATGAAGGGCGGGTCGTTTGCAACATGTGGTTCTCGCCGTAGCGCCGCGCAAACTCAATTTCAAACTTGCAACAGTTCCGTAGATCCAGGGCGGGTCGTTTGCAAAATGTGGCTCTCGCCTTAGCGCCGCGCTAATCCCACCAGCCCTCTGGGCGTCGGTGGTTTAGAGCGTTTCCTCTTCCACCCCTCCTTCCCCTTCGGGGAGGGGTTTACCCCTCCCCCTACCCCCTCCCCACTGACCTGGACAGGGGGGGCCGCGATCGGTCAGAGCGTCCAAGATCGACCCCTGGGAGGGCTAAATTATCCCGGCAAAGCAACCTAACATCGATGTGTAGGAGCATATCTGGAAGCATTCCCTTTAAGATTCGGATGAGAATCCAGTTGTAGAATTCTGCTGTTCTCGCAGTCGTAGTCGCATTCGCGATGACAGTCGCAGTGGCAACGGCAGTCGCAGTCACAGCCTCAGCCTCAGCCTGCCTCAGCCTCAGCCTCAGCCTGCCTCAGCCTCAGCCTGCCTCAGCCTCAGCCTCAGCCTGCTTCAGCCTCAGCATCAGTCTGCCTTCAGCCTCGGCCTCAGCCTCAGCCTGCCTCAGCCTCAGCCTGCATCAGCCTCAGCCTCAGCCTCAGCCTGCCTCAGCATCAGCCTGCCTCAGCCTCAGCCTCAGCCTGCCTCAGCCTCAGCCTCAGCCTGCTTCAGCCTCAGTCTCAGTCTGCCTTCAGCCTCGGCCTCAGCCTCAGCCTGCCTCAGCCTCAGCCTGCATCAGCCTCAGCCTCAGCCTCAGCCTGCCTCAGCATCAGCCTGCCTCAGCCTCAGCCTCAGCCTTCCTCAGCCTCAGCCTCAGCCTCAGCCTCAGCCTGCTTCAGCCTCAGCCTCAGTCTGCCTTCAGCCTCGGCCTCAGCCTCAGCCTGCCTCAGCCTCAGGCTGCATCAGCCTCAGCCTCAGCCTCAGCCTGCCTCAGCATCAGCCTGCCTCAGCCTCAGCCTCAGCCTGCCTCAGCCTCAGCCTGCCTCAGCCTCAGCCTCAGCCTGCTTCAGCCTCAGCCTCAGTCTGCCTTCAGCCTCGGCGTCAGCCTCAGCCTGCCTCAGCCTCAGCCTGCATCAGCCTCAGCCTCAGCCTCAGCCTGCCTCAGCATCAGCCTGCCTCAGCCCCAGCCTCAGCCTGCCTCAGCCTCAGCCTCAGCCTGCTTCAGCCTCAGCCTCAGTCTGCCTTCAGCCTCGGCCTCAGCCTCAGCCTGCCTCAGCCTCAGCCTGCATCAGCCTCAGCCTCAGCCTCAGCCTGCCTCAGCATCAGCCTGCCTCAGCCTCATCCTCAGCCTGCCTCAGCCTCAGCCTCAGCCTGCTTCAGCCTCAGCCTCAGCCTGCCTTCAGCCTCGGCCTCCGCCTCAGCCTGCCTCAGCCTCAGCCTGCATCAGCCTCAGCCTCAGCCTCAGCCTCAGCCTGCCTCAGCATCAGCCTGCCTCAGCCTCAGCCTCAGCCTGCCTCAGCCTCAGCCTCAGCCTGCTTCAGCCTCAGCCTCAGTCTGCCTTCAGCCTCGGCCTCAGCCTCCGCCTGCCTCAGCCTCAGCCTGCATGAGCCTCAGCCTCAGCCTCAGCCTGCATCAGCATCAGCCTGCCTCAGCCTCAGCCTCAGCCTGCCTCAGCCTCATCCTGCCTCAGCCTCAGCCTCAGCCTGCTTCAGCCTCAGCCTCAGTCTGCCTTCAGCCTCGGCCTCAGCCTCAGCCTGCCTCAGCCTCAGCCTGCATCAGCCTCAGCCTCAGCCTCATCCTGCCTCAGCATCAGCCTGCCTCAGCCTCAGCCTCAGCCTGCCTCAGCCTCAGCCTCAGCCTCAGCCTCAGCCTGCTTCAGCCAAAGCCTCAGTCTGCCTTGAGCCTTGGCCTCAGCCTCAGCCTCAGCCTGCCTCAGCCTCAGCCTGCCTCAGCCTCAGCCTGCATCAGCCTCAGCCTCAGCCTCAGCCTGCCTGAGCATCAGCCTGCCTCAGCCTCAGCCTCAGCCTGCCTCAGCCTCAGCCTCAGCCTGCTTCAGCCTCAGCCTCAGTCTGCCTTCAGCCTCGGCCTCAGCCTCAGCCTGCCTCAGCCTCAGCCTGCCTCAGCCTCAGCCTCAGCCTGCCTCAGCATTCAAAATGTGGCCCGGGAATGGAGTTCTAGGAAATAGAAGAGCACGAAGTGGCCTACAGTTGGCTCCGGGCATTCAAAATCATGCCCAGGAATGGAATTCTGGGAAGTCGAAGAACACGAAGTGGCCTACAGTTGGCTCGGGGCATTCAAAATGTGGCCCGGGAATGGAGTTCTGGGAAGTCGAAGAACACGAAGTGGCCTACAGTTGGCTCGGGGCATTCAAAATGTGGCCCGGGAATGGAGTTCTGGGAAGTAGAAGAGCACGAAGTGGCCTACAGTTGGCTCCGTGCATCCAAAATGTGGCCCGGGAATGGAGTTCTGGGAAGTCGAAGAGCACGAAGTGGCGTACAGTTGGCTCCGGGCATTCAGAATGTGGCCCGGGAATGGAGTTCTGGGAAATCGAAAAGCACGAAGTGTGTGACTGTATGCGAAAAACGATCCCCCCCTCTGCAAACCCCAACGGCCCCCCAACGGCTCCCCAACGGCTGCCCAGACCCCCCTGTGGAGTAATGTGCTGCTCTCTTTTTACCCCATGAGAAACCTATCAGTCTTGGATGTTAGGTAAATTCGACACCCCTCACGAGGATCGTGGCTCCTGAGGGGGGGGCTGAAATTTAGGAACCCCCCTTCGTTGATCGATCTCCTCCAAGCTGGCTCCGAGAGACGTCTTGGACCCCCTCTTGGGCCCTGCGCGCGGGCGGGCGGAGCGCCGCCCGCCCGCCCGCAAGGCCCAAGAGCCCACCAAAACGTTCGAAGACACTTCCAATACGCCACCAGGGAGGAGGAAGAGGCGGAGGAGGCGGAGGAGGAGGAGGAGGAGGAGGAGGAGGAGGAGGAGGAGGAGGAGGAGGAGGAGAGGGAGGAGGAGGAGAGGAGGAGGAGGAGAAGGCGGAGGAGAAGGAGGAAGAGGGGAGGAGAACAGCTGCCGATCATCGGCGCTCTTCGTTCGAGTGCCTGGTGTACGATGGGCTGGTGGGGATACGCGAAGCGTCAAGAATTCGTTCTGCAAGTTTGGAGCAGCGCCTAAGATCCAGGGCGGGTCGCCTGCATAAATGTGCCTCTCGCGGTAGTTCTGTGCACATTCCTCTTACAGCGTGCAACAGTTTCACAATGTAGCACTCGCCTTAGCGCCGCGCACGTTCGGCCCAAAAGTCTGCAACCGCTTGAAGAATGGAGGGCAGTTTCTCACCTTAGCTGCGAGAACATTCTTTTCAAAGCTCGCAACAAGAAGGATCAGTAGGGTGGAAGTCCCAAGAAGGGCGTTCTAGCACGATTTAGGATTGTCAGGACGCCAGAATCATGTTGATTCGTGTCGATGTCCAAACAAAAAACTCTCTGGCACGATTTAGGATTGATGAGACGCGAAAACCATGTTGATCCGCTGTGATGCAGTCCCAGAAGTATTGTTTGGGCACAGGGACGGCTATTTGTCAACGGTATACTTCCCGCAACGAATCTACATCCTAGTAGGGGCCTGCGAAGGGGAAGCGAGAAAAAAGAGTTGATTGCAACATCGTCGACGCGTCTTGGCCTTACACGAGTCCTCCTCCTCCTCCTCCTCCTCCTCCTCAGCCTCCTCCTCCTCCTTCTCCTCCTCCTCGTTTCCTCCTTCACATCCTTCTCTTCCCCCTCCTCCCTCCCTCCCTCCTTCCCTCCCCGTCCTCTTCATCTCTCCCCGTCCTCCCTCTTCCCTTTTCCCTCCCACCAACGTGAGGAAAAGGAGGCCTCGCTCCCCTTGTCCTCCTCTCCTTTTCTCATCCTTCTTCTCCTCCCCATTCCTCTTCCTCCCTCGTTCCTCTTCCTACTCCTCTTGTTGTTCCTCCTCGTCATCATCCTCTCCCTCCTCTTCCCCCTCCACCTC